CCCTGTCCTCCCTTTATCAACTCAGAATCTTCTCCTGAAGGGACGTTTGTGCCGTTAATTCTGTAAAGCTTTTTTATGGCTTCAATCCACTTTAGGAGCTTTTTTTGTTTTGTTTTGTTTTTTTGGCTGAGAAGTTGAATCTGGACTCGGGGTGGAACAGTTGGAATGTAAATAAATATCAGTAATGAATAAACAACCCAGGGTTTAACAAAAAGGCAAGCCTTGGCAGAGCATAGAAGGGAAATAAAGAGAGATAAGAATGAGATAAAGAGGGTCCAAAAACTTTGGTATCTTAAATATTTGTGTATCTTGGCTTCAGCTTCCAATAGAGAATCTGGCATTTGTCTTAGACACCAATTCCTGTCCTTTAAACGCAGTGGTCCTGCCAGGTCATGTTTTCTGGCTTGTTAAAAAGGGTGTGATACCCAAGGGCCGGTAGCCCAACTTGGTTGGCTTGCTCGTCTTTGTAGGAGTAAATATGAGTCTGCAATCTGCAGAGCTGTTGGTCCAGCTTTGATATCCACGGAATAAGGAGATGCACAGAAGTGACAGTTCTCTTTCTGTTTTCTGACTTTCATACCATGCCTGCGAGAATGCCTTGAGCACAATGCAGTGATTTCCCTCCCCCCCCTTTTAAAGCAGGCACAAATGGGCCGTTGCATGAAAAAACTCATCTTTACTAGCAGGGAAGAAAAAAAGCGCCAAACTAATTTGTTTAATGTTTGCAAAGGTTACAGTTGGAGACTGAGCAGGAATCTTCCCAGCCTGGTTTTGGAAAACTGAGGAAAGGAAGGGAAATGTGGCACGTTTAGGTTGCTGGTTGGGTCTTCCTGAACTAGAAGCTAAAGGACAATGGAAACTGGATTCATAGAGCTGCCCTGATAGTCAAAGAACTGGTCACACAGGTGTGTTCATCCCACTTCAGTTCCAGCATATCGTGGTGGCCTACATGTGCGAACATGAACACACGAAGCTGTTTTCTACTGGTTGAGGCCACGGATCCATCTTGCTTAGGAGTGTCTTCAAGTTTTCCATGTCTGACCCCTGCAGCTGCATGGGACCCACTGAGCTGCAAGCATGTGACAAGAAATCATGTGACAACCCAGTCATGGGATAGGAACAGGAAGGGCCTGAGGTATGCCCTCACTTCCTTGTTGGATATGTTAAAGGGCTGGGAAACAAGGTTGCATGGGTAGAGGGCAGGGCTAATTTTGGGCAGGAACGCCCAGGAATGGAGTTCCAGCTGGCTTCAGAGTTGGCCACGCCCACTACAGCCAAAACCTCTGCATGCGTGGCTACAGAGGGAAGACCTGGAGAGTGACTCCCCCCCAGCAACTCCAAGGCGGGCAGGCCAGGGGGGCCCCTGGAAGGATTGGCGAGGCATTGACTCGGAGTCTTCCCCGGCCTGTCCAAGGGCCGACTTGCACCTGGGCAAGCCAAGGGAAGGTATGGGGGTGTGGCCTAATATACTAATGTGCTGCACTGTATGGGTGTGGCCTAATATGCTAATGAGTTTCTGTTGTTGGGTGTGGCCTATTATGCTAATTTCCTGCTGGGCTTTTTCTACAAAAAAAAAAAAAGCCCTGGCAGAGGGTGAGTTGAAGAAAAGTTGAAGGGAGTTAATGGCGACAAATATCCAAGTCCTCCTGTATCCCTCTCAGTTCCTGCAGCCCCTTCCAGTCCACAGAATGATCATTCCCAGGACCTTCATGGAGGAAGAGCTGCATGGTCAAAGGCTGGAGGAGGAAGGAGATGAATTCTCCCTTTCCCCTTGGCATAACTGCGCTTGCAGAAGAGGGGAAAGAAGGGATTTCACCCCCTTGCCCTTCCTGACTCTAGAAGTGATCTCTTTGGGTGGTGTCAGAAGAGGCTGCAGGAATGGAAAGGGATATGAGAAAATCCTCATGTGCTTTTTATGCATGGGTGGTTGAGCATTGGATTGGCTTTCTGTGACACAATTAAAAAACGGGGGAGGGAAATGACGTTCTGACTTTTATTTGTTTAGTGGCTTTGTTCGCATACTCCATAAGTGCTCAGTGATGTGAGGGCGGACATGGGTCCAACCTGTGGCCACCATTGCTGTTTTAGAGGACACTTTAGCCATTTAAATATTGCTGCACTGGGGCAGGTGATCTCATTCCCCCCGGCACCTTTCAAAGTGTTGAATAGCCATGGGGCTGTTTGGGCATTTTAAATGGCACAGAGAGGGGAAGCAAGATCACTTGCTGCTGTTCAAGACCGGACTTTCGTGACAGTTTTTAAACCGTTACATTTCTCTTTGAAACGGCATTGGCAGCCACGGTTTGTGCCGATGTCCGCCATAATGTGTAGTTTGGCTCTTAAAAATAGCAAATGACTAAAAATCAATAAGCTTAAAAGCAGCAGAGCAAAAATCAGCAGCACAGACAATGGTAACAATCCAGCACACACACAACTTTCTCTAAATGAAGGCAGGAGATTAAAACCACCTGTGTTTTAATGGTTGTAAAATGTGATTTTATCGTGTGTGGTTCAAATTGTTAGCATCTTTAGTTGACCTTGCAAGGGCTGAAAGGCAGGATCCAGTTTTGTAAAGAAATTGTAAACAAACCTGCAAAATTAGAAGAAAAGGATAAAATAATCACAGGACAGTTGATAAAGTACTCTGTGCATTAGAATGAGGGTGCAAAAATTAACATACTGCTTGGGCAAATAACGAAGAAGTTTACCTGATGCCTGAAATTTATTAGACCAAGTATTGGGGGGACTATGATATGTAATTCCATTTCATTGTCTGACGAAGTGTGCCATGCACACGGAAGCTCGTACCTTGAATAAAACTTTATTGGTCTTATAAGTGCTATTGGACTCTAACTTTGTTCTATTGATTCAGACCAGCACGGTTGCCCACCTGGATCTGTTATTGTGTGTGTAAAGTGACATCGAGTCATAGCCAACTTATGGTAACCCCATCATGGGGTTTTCAAGGCAAGAGATGAGCAGGTGTGGTTTGCCATGGCCTTTTTTTTGGAGAGGAGTGGCAAGTGGAGTGCCTCAAGGATCTGTCCTGGGTCCTGTTTTGATCAACATCTTTATCAATGATTTGGATGAAGGAATAGAGGGAATGCTTATTAAATTTGTGGATGATACTAAATTGGGAGGGGTAGCAAATATGGTAGAAGACAGAGTCGGGATACAGGATGATCTTGACAGGCTGGAAAACTAGGGTAAACAAATAAAATGAATTTCAGTGGGGATAAATGTAAAGTTCTGCATTTAGGTAGAAAAAATGAAATACATAATTATAGGCTGGGGGAGGCTTGTCTTGGTAGCAGTATGTGCAAAAAGGTTCTAGGGGTCTTAGTAGACCATACACTGAACATGAGTCAGTGTGATGCGGTTGCTAAAAAGGCAAATGCTATTTTGGGCTGTATCAACAGGAGTACAGTGTCCAGATCACACAAAGTGATGGTACCACTTTACTCTGCTCTGGTTAGACCTCACCTAGAATATTGTGTTCAGTTTTGGGCACCATAATTTAAGAAAGACATAGACAAGCTGGAACATGTCCAGAGGAGAGCAACGAAGATGGTGAGGAGTCTGGAGACCAAGTTCTATGAGGAAAGGTTGAAGGAGCTGAGTTTGTTTAGCCTGGAGAGGAGACGACTGAGAGGTGATATGATAACCATCTTCAAGTACTTGAAAGGCTGTCATATAGAGGATGTTACAGAGTTGTTTTCTGTTGCCCCAAAAGGTCAGACCAGAACCAACGGGATGAAATGAAATCAGAAGAGTTTTCGGCTGAATATTAGGAAGAACTTCCTGACAGTTAAAGTGGTTCCTCAGTGGAACAGGCTTCCTTGGGAGGTGGTGGGCTCTCCTTCTTTGGAGGTTTTCAATCAGAGGCTAGATGGCCATCTGACAGCAATGCCAATTGTGTGAACTTAGGCAGATCAGGAGGAGGGCAGGAAGAGTTGCCTCAGTGCTTATTTCTTGTGGCCCTTCCTTGCACGCCCAGGGAGTTGCTGATTGCCACTTTGGGGTCAGGAAGCAATTTGTCTCCAGGTCAGTTTGGCCAGGGATCCTGGAGGTTTTTTTGTCATCTTCTGGGTGTGGAACAGCGGTCACTGCGGGTAAGGAGGGGGAGGCAGGGATATTTTTGGGCAGGAACGCACACAGGAACGGAGTTCCGGCTGGCTTCCAAGTTGGCCACGCCCAGCAGGAACTCATTAACATAATAGGCCACACCCAACACCAGAAACTCATTAGGATTGGCTACATTAGGGGTGTGTGGCCTAACATGCAAAGGAGTTCCTGCTACAAAAAAGCCCTGGGTTTTGACAACAAACAAGGTAAACAGAATAAGAAGCAAAAGGTGGGTGTGGCTGGATGAGCACACTTCTGGTAACATGGGTGTGCGGCCTAATATGCCAATGAGCTGTGCTGTCAGGGGTGTGGCCTAATATGCTAATGAGTTTCTGCTGTTGGGTGTGGCCTATTATGCTAATGAGTTCCTGCTGGGCTTTTTCTACAAAAAAAGCCCTGTGGGGAGGTATTTGTGAATTTCCTGCCTTGTGCAAGGGGTTTGGACTAGATGACCCTGGAGGTCCCTTCCAACTCTATGATTCTATGGTTTTTTGCAAAGCAAGCCTGGGCTACCTTAGTGGTCTTCAGCGTCGACCCTGCTTCACTTCTGAGATCTGACAAGATCAGACTAGCCTGATTGTATAAAATAGCATCTGTTCCACACAGCCAACAAGAATGCAGCTGACACTTCCTATCAAGAGCCTGCTTGCAAGTTCTCTTGTTTGCTTCCCCTGAGCATACCATTGCTTACCATCTTGGCACATATGTACTATGCTTGGCAAATAATGGTGTCCTGCTTCTGTCATGTTGAAAGCAATCTATGAGTGAGGGTAAGCTCTCCCTCCTGTGCTGTTTGCCCTCTGCCCCCATCTAATGGCAAGCCATCTGCATCTCGTCTGATTTGCACTAAAAACTTCTTTCTGTTCTCACTACAGACGCATAGAGAACTGGAGGAATCTGCAGACGCTGCACGCTGTAGATATGGAGCTCTACACGGGACTCCGGAGACTGTGAGTATGTTGTGTGGGTATGCCAGTCAGTCCTTGCAGGGGCTTCCCAGACAGCTGAGGTTGCTAACTGACCAGAACAAAGGCTGGCCCCCCAGTTGTGCTGTTTAACAGCAGCTTGATCTGCAGAAATCAGCCGTTAGAATCTCTTGTTGGCAATGTGCTAAGCATGAGCATTTGCTAAGAACTGCAGACCATACTGCCGTTAAACAGAGCCTGGTTGAAAAATCAGCAACCTTATGACAAGTTGACCTGAAGTCTCAGACACAACACAGTTGCTGGGCAGTCATGTCTTCCCCAGTTTAACTGTTCCTCCCTGTTCTGTGTAGCTGCTAACCATGTTCCTTAGGGTTGCCAGCACTGTACAGGCATACCCCAGGAGCTTTGGAGGGGTGTGTGGCCTGGGGAAGGGGAATGTCACCAACGGTCCCCCAATGTTGCTCTAGGAATCCTTGCAATCTCTATGGTAAAGACCATAGAGATAAGTTGAAATCCCTAGAGCATTGTAGACACTCATCTGGCAGTGACATCATCTGCAACATTATTGCCCCCCCTCCCCATTTTTCTCCTGCTGCTTGGTGAATTGAGCCCAGGCAAAGAAGTGCAGGTGTCGGTAGGCAAGTGACAACCCTGTGTACCCCACTTGCCTTTCTTAATTCTTCCCAGCTAGGCTCCACTTCTGTTACGACTTCTTTCTTATGTTAAGGGTCCATCTTACATTGTGGCAGTGCTGTCGAAATCACAGGGGAGAGATGTTGTCAATAGGGTGGGAGGGCTGGGGGAAGGGATGTGGGGGGGCATGCAATTTTTGTGATGTCACTGATGTTGCTATGTCACTTCTGGGTTGTCCCAGATAGTCCTAGGAATCACTGGTAACTCTATGGGTTTACCATAGATTTTCTGGTGATTCCTAGACTACCCTACATCACTTCTGGGATTCCTCCGGAAGTGATGTAGGGATGTTGTTTCTTTTCCTGGAAAAAAAGGGGGGGGGGGAACTGAACCCAGGATATGACTACAAACCAAACGGCTAAGCTAAACCATATATATAAAAGTACAAATATTTATTAAGGTGTACACATGTTAAAACTTTCCTGATTAAAAAGTGCTTTGTCTAAGATCAGACTGTAAAAACTTGTCCACTATACATACATATGATGGGTAAATACTTTAAAACTGAAGACCAAATGTGTTTCGGCCCCTAAGGGCCTTCCTCAGTGGTCACTATTATCTATATATTCTAGACACACATTCAAAGACCTGTTGCAGAGTTTTAGTACACATATAATTAAACCGGATGTTGTTTCCTGAAATTGTTCAAAGAAAAATAGAGGGGGGGGGGAAGAAAGGAGAAGAAACTTCATTATTCTGTCCAAATGTATAAAAGAAATTATTATTGAATAAAAAATGATTCTATCAAAGATAAAGTTACCTTGTATACTTATAATTGGACTCCTGGTATTAGTGATGGGCCATAGGTATAGCCATATCACCTCCACAACTTATTCTGAATTAAAAAGTGAAATGAAATTGTAAAAAATTGTCAGTCAAATTGTATAATTAATTTCACCCAAATTGAAATGAAAATTATTACATTGGCTAACAAACCTGGTAACAGTGATTTTGTAGGTCTGAATGTCTGTCCCTCCATCAAGGTGAAAATTCTATTATTAGCTGCTGCACTGGCTTCAATATATATTAGTGAAACCAGGGTGATGCAATCACCAATTAGCATTGCACAGTGCCAGCCAGGAAAAGTACCAGATGGGAGGGGGTACAAAGGAGAGGGAGATAAGGAGCAGCATGGGGGGCGGGGGGGAACAGGTCAGCATACAGAATAGACAAAAACAATTACAGACGTTCACAAACAGCAAGTCCAGTCCACTTCCTCATTCAATCCAAAAGGCGCCCATGTTTGTACTTGGTAAATCCAAAACAACTCTCTTCTCAGGAGCACTCTGCACATGTTCAGGTTGGTAGAAGAGAGTTGTTTTGGATTTCAGGCTTTCAAGAGTCAAAAGCTCCTTCATCAGATACAAGTGGGAATGGAGATCCTTGAGCCCTGCTGTCCTAGTAAGAAGGACTCGGGGATCTCCATTCCTATTTATATCTGATGAAGGGAATTTGGACTCTCAGAAGCTTATACCCTGGGAATCTTGTGGATCTTTAAGGTGCTCTGGCTCTTTCACTGCAGACCAGCAAGGCTACCCACCTGAAACTATTTAAATGAGTGGTCTCCCTCCCCGCCTTTCCCCTGTTTTCCAGAGCTGCCTCACCCGGCTTGCTATTTTGGATTTCTGATTGGCACAATGTTCTTGCAACCGTCTCCTTGAGTTCACTGCAAGGAGGTTTGGAATGCCTAGCTCTCGCTGACCCTGTTCCCCCCCCCCATCCCTGTCCATTTAAATCTCTTCACAGGACAATCAAGAACACGGGCCTGCGGAGTATCCAGCCTCGAGCATTTGATAAGAACCCTCACCTGCGCTACATGTGAGTAACTTAGCTCCCCTGAGTCCCACTGCTGCCTTTCTGGAAAGGTTATTCTTGTTGCTTGGGGGGGCAGGTGGGAGGGTGGGATGGCGGAAGGGTGAAGGAGACACGGGTTAGTGAGAAGGTAAAATCATGAAGGGAAGGAGGAAAAGAAAGGGCTCTGGGAGGGATGGGAAGCCACAGCATCGGACCTCTCTTTCCCGCTGGGCAGCTGGCAGATTTAGGTGTCTTAATAACCGAGGCAACTTTGATTGCGGTGCTAATGAGCGATTCCTCATTAACAGCCCTTAGGTGGCTGGTGGAAGCTTCCCTTTCAGCATGAGGGTTCACAGGGACACTGCTGGGGGAAGGAAAGAGCAGCGGCACAGCCTCGCCGCACTGCCTGCAACCGTTCCACTCATTAACACTTAACGAACGCAAGATGCAAGGCAGGCTTTTTTGCCTCTCCTACCTCAGGCACACCGCTGACAGCTTGTGCTCTTAATTATCGACTTGTTAAACAGGCGGGCGAGACGGGCCAGGCAACATGATAGGTGCTCCTTGCCGGAGGCTGTTGCTAGGATAGAGCGAAGTTGAAAGGCACTCTGGAAATGGAGGAACCACTCAGATGATGGTTGCGCTTTGTGGTGGAGTAGTGGACTTGGTGCTGCTCTTTTGTCCTGCAATGCCTTTGCGGTGACTGTTCTTGAAGACTCTTGAACCATGCTGCATTATTGCTGTTCCAGATGTTCTCCAGTTTTTGGTTTGGGGGTAAATAGTAACGATTTTGGTAGGGTAGAAATTCTCTGTAAAAAGATTGGGAGGCTTTTCAGAGTGTGTTCCCCCCCTGGCGGCTGCTGGTGGTTTCTTTCTTCCCTGGATTCCCTGGCTGCCAGTGGGGATGGCACCTCTCTCCCTCCCATGAATTGATTGCTACTTCTCTGGATTCCTACTTCTTTCAAATGTGTCACTCTTTCTCCAGCCAGTTTGGTGTAGTGGTTAAGTATGCGGACTCTAATCTGGGAGAACTGGGTTTGATTCCCCACTACTCCACTTGCACCTGGCTGGATGACCTTGGGCAAGCCGTAGTTCTGATAAGAGCTGTCCTTGAAAAAGAGCCGTTTCTGTCAGAGCTCTCTCAGCCCCACCTACCTCACAGGGTGTCTCTTGTGGGGAGGGGAAGGGAAAGGAGTTTGTAAGCCGCTCTGAGACACCTTTGGGTAGTGAAGGGCGGGGTATAAATCCAATCTCCTCCTCAGAAAATGCTTCAAATGCATTGCTCCTTCTCTCACAAGTTCATTGTTTCTTCTCTCCCCCTGCTGGGATTAATTGTTCTCTTCCCTTCTGTCTCCCTCTTGGAATCAATTGCTGATTTCACTCCTTGCCCTGCCAATGGCAGAAGTTCATTGGTCTTTCCTCCCCCACCCCAACTGGTTCAGC